ATTAAATGTGGTATCTTACCTCGATTGTCGAGGTAAGACGCCTAATTTGTGTATAAAAACAAAATTCATTATTACAGAAACAGAGCTGTTCTTTTGTTGTCCTGTGCGAATACGTAATTTCTAAATACCTTCCAGAATTTGGTATTTATATCTAAAGCACACAAATAAATAAACTGTATCTGACACTTCCAACAAAAACAAAAAATTAGTCATTTTCCCTGATTCCCTTATCAATCCTTCCGTATCTATAAATAAAATTAAATAGATTATTTACTAAAGTGAAGATTTCTGTATCAATAAGTATTGATACAGAAATTTTGTTTGATTTTGTTTACTTGTTATTTAATTGTATTTGCTATGTTAATTGTATATGCTTAGTAATTGTATTGTATTTATTGCACGTTTATTAATAGCATCGCTACTATACTTATTCTCTTTAGAAATCAATCTTTTCTCATGACAATATTTTTAAAGCTGTTTATATCTATTCTTATATCTATAAATTTAGTATAGAATATTATGATGTTGCTACAAAAAGTAATTTTTGACCAATAATAATCACGTTAATATCTTAACAATTTAAATATAGCTTATATAAATTATATTATTATTATATAGTTATTGATCTATTGCTACATATATAGAGTATTTGAATGTCTATTTAATTTAACATACTTATAAACATAAAATCATAGTACAAAATTATAATAAATAACTTTATTTTACTTATCTTTTAAGTTTAGATTATTATTTTAAATGTATTGATAAAAGTGCAATAGTTCATTAGTCAATCCAATGAAATTTTTAATCTTTTGAAGAAAATAATAATAAATTTTAGTATGGTTTCCATTAAGACAAGTCTAGTCGAATTTCCAATATCTTAAAATAATCATCAAACCTGACACATTTGACTAAATTACTCAAGTTTTATTGGGAGAAAAAAATTAAAGAAAAGTGAAAATTTGAATGAAGCTTGAACATCTTTATAAAAAAAAGCATTTATGAAGTTGGCACATTTGATTTATAATATCAATTTAAAAATACTTCCTCTGAAAAAATCGACTAGACAGTATATTTTTTTCGCTCCAAGTTTAAAGATGAGCCAAGCAACTAAAATATTGTTTTAATTCTAAGAAATAACTCATCGCAATTGGTTTTATTGATTTAAAAAAAATTATGATTAAAGAAAAACATTTAACTCATAAATTCAGTTACTAGTTATTTTTATCACTTTTTCTAGCAAATTAAGTAAGTCAGCATTACTTTAAATGTAATAAAAACACTTAATTAACTAATTCAGATGTAATTGTAAAAGGCAATCAAACATTTTAATATAAAAATAATACATTTTCAATAAATATCACACTATAATAAATTATTTTTAATTATATTTTTTAAAAGTTGTAAAGATAAAACACTAGATATATATAGTATAAGGAAAGATAACACATAGATAAATTCAAATTCAAATTTATGATAATATACATATATATATGATATTATTAACGATTATAAACTTATATAAACTATATTATAATGTTGTATTGATTAAAGTTATTTATTTAATTGTATTTTAAATTAATTTAAATGATTTGTTTTGCATATTTACAAAGATTAAAATTATTTTATGCAAAATATGATTTATTTTTAAACTTTAAAATCTAAATGTTAATGAAATTTATATTAAAAATAAAAAAGTGAAGTGAGAAAAATACTTAAGTATTTCCTTATTTTTTTCAATCAAGACAAAAACTGTTTGAAACTGTTGGATGTTTAATTAATTTACTAAAAAACTCGGAATAAATTATAATAGTAATTGTAATTAATTTCTTTTAAAAAATAGGACATAAATAAAAAGAAGTATTTTTTTTACTTGAGAAATTTTTTTATTCCTGTTGCTATTTTACACTTTATAAACTACATTCATATTAGAAAATTATAAGATAAAAACGATAATTGTTAATATAATTTAACAAAATATTTCTTAATTCTTATTTTTTTAGGTTATTTTTTTAGTCTCAACTTTTATTATTTTATTTTTATTTTACTTTTTAACAGTATTATAATTAGAGTTTCTCATTTTCCGGTCCTTTGCTTGTCTCGGGATTTCGAGAAAAAGTGATCTGTTTTCCGGGATTCCGGGAAATCCCGAGATACAGTTAATTATTTTTAAGGTATAAAATAAATTTTGAAATTTAATAATATAACTATTTTCATTTTTAAGTAATTTAATTCGTCCTGCAACCTCCAAAATAATAATATTAATAATGCTGTGTAAAATATGTATTAAAAATTACCTTTGACGTAAAACGTATACGAATAACGTAGAAATTTCCACAAATAAAAAAAAAACTTTATTAAAATTTATTGGAAACTGCTTACAACAACAACAACAATTGTCTTTGAATTGATTTGAAAATTTAAATAAAAAATGAATTTTGATTAAACTTCTAATTTAGAAGGTAATTTTCGTTTTTTGAATAAAACATAATACAAAATATTATTGTAAATTTTTATAAGATTTTAAAAAGCAAAGATGGTCAATACTCCGATCACTCAATCTAATTCTTATTTTAGTAATAAAAAGTCCTGCTACCGAGAATGCCCTTTCCGATTCAATTGATGTGAGTGGAATCGTGTTTAATGCATTTAAGAGAAGACAGATGTTGTGTTCTTTTTTTCCACCTGTAGCCTGGAAGATTTTCGAGATTGTAGTACTTCGTTTGCTCTCTACTATTCTTGATCTGTCTACCTCGGCTTCTTTAATAGAAACATCAAGCTTATAGACCAATAATTCGGCAGTTCGTTTGTCTTTAATAATCAGGTTTATGAAGAAAAACATCATAGTTGCATACTTCGTACTCATTTGTATTCTTGCTCAATTTGCACAACCTGGCGTTACGCAGTTATTGAAGCCATTGGGCATGGTTAAAAATTAAGACAGCATAAGCACAACTATTTTAGATATTACAGGTTCAAGTAAAGAATTTTCAGAGTCCTGCCACAAATAGGTTAGATATTGGTTATTGACGATCTGTGATGTGCCATAATAAGCAAAAATTTAAACAACGAATAAGCAGGCTTAAAATTAATAAATACAAATGTTATGTATTTCCGAGACCGTGTTTTCCTTTATTTGTTTTTTTCTTCACTACTAGGTGCATAAATAGACACAAGGCATTTTACATCATCTTTATTAATCTTCCATAGGCCGATACGCGTTTCGGGCAAAGCCCGACATTACATCCGGAATTTTCTTTAGGTTTCGTTGTTACATATATATTTTTTCGAATATTATTTTACATAATTAGACATAATTTTAAACGAAAAAATATATATGTAACAACGAAACCTAAAGAAAATTCCGATGTAATGCCTACGGATGAAGGGCCTTGCCCGAAACGCGTATCGGCCTATGGAAGATTAATAAAGATGATGTAAAATGCCTTGTGTCTATTTATGCACCTAGTAGTGAAGAAAAAACAAATACAAATGTATTCTTACATTTTATGAGTTAATTATACTTTCTATTTGTAAAATTTCCTCAACTTAACACAAAATAAGAAAAACGTGAATTTATAAGAAATTTGGAGGATTTCCCGGAATGACAAGAGTTTTCCGGGATATTTTCCGAGTTAAAAAACAGCCGGGATCTCGTTAGAAAAACCCTAATTACATGCATCTATGCAAATGAACAATGTTTTTATATTTCACAAAACATTAAAAAGTTTATTACTGGTGTCATTTACGTTGCAAAGCTAAAATAATAATAATTTCCTTTATGTTGTTATTAATTAATTTTTGAATAATTCTTTTATATTTTATACGAGATTTTGCTATTTATTAATCTCATAAACATCAGCTAAAAATTAAATTAAATCAATTTTTTGTATGTTTTGTTTCTTCGCTTCTATCACTAAAGTTTTAGGAATATTTTTTAATTTTTAAACAATCAGTTGCATTATTAAAAGAAAAAAAAATCGTTAAAACGATTGTTTGAAAAATATATATATAAATAAAAGTGAAAGAAAATAGAAGCTTTCAAATCTTTAGAAGAAACACTTCCTTTCAAAATGGTTTTATTGTATGGTGTAATGTAACAAGCGGTGACAGAAAGTATGAAATATGAAATCCTTTTTTTATAGCGTAATAAGATTACTTTCATGGAAAATCTTTTGTAATAATATCTCATTGTGTATTTACTTATGTTATTTGAAATATATATAAATATATTTTTAAGACTTTTTTTCTTTATTTATAGAATAAGAATAAAATTTAAAATATTCCTAGTTAGGCCTAAATAATTATTAAAATCAAAATTTATAATTAGTATAATAAATTTTATATTCTTTATAAAGTAAAAATGTGTTATAAAGTTCTATAAAAAGTAAAAAGATTGTTTACTTTAAAGTCTTTATCAGTTCAATGTTTATGTTAAATATAACCAGAAATCCAATTTAATTTTCAAATTGTTTGTGATTAGTCTAAACCAGTCTTCATTTGATGAGTTTATACCAGCTCACTCGACCCAATATATTTGTTTGTAATGGTTTCGCGACACAAATGTTTATAATGTAAAATGTTTTAAAAACCTGGTATACTGGAATCACTACATATTATACAACGAAATAAAATAATGTGTGAGATCCGGAATTTTGGTGACGGAAATTATCGCTCATTTATTAACAAAATTGTTAATTAATCAAACTTTTGTTTATGTAACGCCCTAGTAGAAAAAAACGATCTTGCCCAGGATTGTGTAAACTTTCCGGTCTTAAGTAGCAACATCTATTGTTCTCTGCAGAACTTGCATCTCATCTTGCAAAAAGGTTGATAGTTGGCATTCAAATGTCGTCATTTGTTATAGATCCCTGGAACACCTATAACCCCTAACCTATGAACATCCGATCACGTGATGGAAAATCCCCACTAAAACGGATAAAAGGCCGTTCTTACCCCCTCTCAGGAGAGTCTATTACCAAACGCAGGATTAACAACATCGCGCCGATCTTCTGAACTTGCGGAATTCCGATCTCCGATGAATCTCGAATTAAATGAGCGCTTAAGTCGCGATTTTATATAATTTGTGCCGTATTTGTGGATTATTCCTTGGATCGATATTTTAAAGGCATCCACGTTCAGAATCGTCAAAGTGGACGGCTATAAGAGGTATGAAACCACTGTGAAACTCTCTCTGTCGTATAGAAACTCTCTGACGGTATAGAGCTTTGTGTAGTTTTTGTCATTTTGCCTATTCTTAATAAATTGTTATTTTATCTTTGTTAAAATAATGGTAGACTCTTTTACTCGATCTCGCCCTTCACCTTATCGTCGACCCCAATCACCTCCCTTTCCACTCGCCTGACATATCCTGACCATTGAACGGGAGCCTTACGCCCCCGTATTCACAAATGCATTATTGATGATAATTTCTACCTGTGAAGTGTAACATCAAATACATTTCTATTATGAGCGGTTCTTGCCAATATCGAGTTTTTAACAAATAAAAACCGAAATTGATGTAAGTTATTGTTCAAATTTAACTATTAAAAATGTAAGATTGGCGATTGTAAATAAAACAGGGTGTTTCAAAATTCTTCGGAAGTCTATTTTACTTTATAAAAAAAACTTGTAATATTTTTCAAACTTAATGAACTCTTCTTCAAAATAAGCTACACATTTTTAGATTGTAAGATTTTGTCAATTTTATTTTGTAAATAGACCAGGAAAAAAATTATTTAAAAATCATTTATTGATTCACTTATATAAATAATTAATAATTTTGGCATAATTTATTTTTATATATGACAATGACAATAAACCTAAAAGTTTGAATAAACAAGGAAATATTTTCAAAATCATTCAACTTAAATGGCTTTATGATTACGACCTTACATAAAATATCTATTTTGATGTTATTCAAAATAGATAAGATAAATGAATTTCATGTACAAAGACTATATAATCTTACTTTTATTATTAAATGACAGTAACAATTATAAGAAAAAAGTTGATTTTCTTTTTGAAACCAACTAATAAAGGAATTTAATGGAAAATTTGCCACGTGTCTTTGGAATAAAACACAATACTAGTGTTTACTACGCCACAAAAAAAAAAAGAAAAAAGTTGTTAAAAGTTTTTCAGTACTTAACAGATGCATGTATTGTTCCTAGTTCTTAGAGAATATTTCAGTAATGTAACCATTACAAGTATTTCCGCGGAAGGTAGTATCATTTCGCGAAACCATTAAAATTGTAACTTGACCCAATATTGGGTCACGATCCATAGTTTGATCCATAGCTGGTCTAAACAATGCTCTACAGAGGTCCAAGGGATTTTCACTAAAAATTCTGTAATTTCGCCAAACATAACTAAATTTTGTTCGAGAATCGATAGCAGACACATAATTATACCTTATATTAATAAGGTTGTTGTAAATTACATGTTTGATTTTATATGTTAAAAATTCTTACTAACAATCTGACGTATTTCGTTAAAGAAATAGGTGTAACAGAACTTGTGAGCTAATTAATTTCCGAAATAAAGGCTACTTATTTTTAATCTATAAAGAGAGACTTATTGCAACAAATTGATAATTATATGTCTAATTAAATACAAATTTTCCAAATCGTAATAAATACCGATAACAATTTCTCAGAGAAAAATACCAAAATTATTTTAAATGCTAGATAAAACAGTATTAAATGTAACATTTTTATACGGTTTAAGGATGTTTAGAGTATAAAAATAGTTGGCAGAACTGATAAGCCGCTGCTCTGAATATTAATTAATTAAATTAAATTGTTGCATTGTTAAGTGTAATTTTATAAGTAACAGTTTTTTTCTCTATTTTCTTAGATTTATAAATATTAAAAATTTTAAAATAACACTCGATGTCTTGATGTTTGTTTTATTTAATAGACTTTGAATTAAAATTTGTTCATAATCATGATTCTTTATTTTATGATATTTTGATAATTGCAATTTTCGATTATTAAAGTAATATTAAATAATTAAATATAAGTTTGAAATAAATATTCTTATAAAAAATTGCTAAAATGTCCAAAATATCATCCCGTTCTTTTACCAACAAAATTGATAAAAATTTTTCAACGTTTATTATGAGAAAAATAAATTATAATATAATTTAATTTGTTTCAGATTTATAATGAAAGAAAATTCTTACATATAAGCAATTAAAAATGCCTGACGAATTGATTAATAATTTTCTCTGAAAGCTTTTCTTTTTAGTATGAAATAATTAATTATAGGAATTCTTTAAATTCTTTTTGATAATAGTTATATTCACTTCTTGATAAAAATCTATATAAGATCATACTTCTTATACTTCCTTTTAATAGGAATCGTGATCTTTTTTGAATAAATCATGAATGAAAACTACCACTTCGAATTTTTTTAAAGCAAAATTTGTACGATTTTAACATAGAGAAAAGATAATACGACTTAAATACATAAAATTAAAAATAAATTGAGTCATTAAATCACTTCAAGAATGTTCGACGTAAAAGAGAAAGATAGAAAAACTAATTTGAAGCGAAGACTTTAATATATTTAGTTTATTAGGATTTGAATATTAAATAAAATATATTACAAATCAAACTTTAGTAAATTATTTATAATTTTTTATTTGAAGTTTCTTGAAAAAAATTCTCATATACACAATAAGTATATATCATTTGTATATGATAAAATAAGTCAATTTCACAATAACATAAATGCTTCTTCACTATTAATAATAAATAATTCTTATGATGAAGCACTTATGCTTTTATTGTATGCATTTATTTTATTAAAAATTATTGTAATAAGAATAAATAAAGTGGAAAGCAAATTATTTACTAGACTCTTTCCTCTATAGATTTGTTAGACATAATTAATAGCAAAAAGTTCAATTATCAAAAACCAATGGGATCGGTATAAATATTAACACACTAAAAATAAAAAATTTTTAGCCAAAAAAACAAGTAAAAATTATACTCTTTCTATTTCCGACTTCGAGGATTCTATGAGCCAAAAAACGACAAACAAATGGCAAGGAACAATCATTATTTTATTAATACGATCCAAATACATTTCGCCATCAGGCCTCCTCAGTGGATACATCAAGATATCAATCGCTGGTTACGCTTTATACCAAACAGTCGTTCCCAGCATGCATCAACAATCATTCCAACATTCAAATTAAGTACATTTGCATGTTCAGCGATACAAAACTGTTCTACAATTTTTCTTTCTAAATTATTTTCTATTATATAGAATATTTTAGTATTTTTTCTATTTATATTACAGTTAAATTCTCTACAATGTAAAAACCATGCTGATTCCGTTCTTCTCAGTCTAATGGCCGCCTAATGTTCCTTTATTCTCAACTTCAATCTTCTACCGGTTTCTCCAATGTAATAATTTGGACTTCCACATATACATGACATTCTGTATACGACACTGGCGATCTTAAATTGGTCTCTGGGCGAATTTTCACTGTTTATTATACTGAAAATGTTTGACATCTTATTCTTTTGATTCGCAACTATGCATATAGAAAATTCTTTAAATATCGGTTTATATTTTTCAAAAATATTAGTAACATAAGGAAACTTTACATAAGAAATATCTTCTATGTCATTTTTAACATTAAATCTACATTTTAAATATAAATTGTACCACTTACAAAGAATATACTTCGGATAATCATTTAACAGAAATTTTTTAAACAATTGTTTTACTTTAATGTCTATATTTTCTTGCTGGGTTGTTCGATTCAATACTTTTCTCAATTCCATAATAAAGACATTCTTTTTATTTTCTATAGGACAGTAAGATTTAAAGTTAATAGTTTTACTATTATCACATAGTTTTTTATACTTACTAAATGATACACTTGTTTCTTCTCTTTTTTGTTCCAAATGCATTTCGCCATCAGAAGGCCTGATGGCGAAATTCATTTGGATCGTATTAATAAAATAATGATTGTTCCTTGCCATTTGTTTGTCGTTTTTTTTTTTTGGCTCATAGAATCCTCGACGTCGGAAATAGAAAGAGTATAATTTTACTTGTTTTTTGGCTAAAAATATTTTATTTTTAATATGTTAATAGCAACAAGAATTGACAACGTCTAATGTAATTTCTTGATTCCTTTCTTCTAAACCAAAATAAATAAGTTTTTTTAAAATTATGATTTGAACTTCTAATTGACAAGAAGCCAGATAACGAACGAAAGAAAACGTCCTTTATTATGAAAAGAACGAAATAATTACCAAGATTTTGTGTGACGTTACTACTAATATAAAATAAATATATATATTTATATAGTATTCATAATTTAATTAAATAATATTTATAAATTTTAGTTAATATATGAAATTTAGTACTCTATTTCTTTAAGGAGTGGATACGGAAAATTTCTAAGAGGAAAATTAAAAGAAATAAAAAATTATTCTTTTATTTCTTTTATAGAAAAAGTTTAATTATAAAAATTCTTGAAAAGAAAATGGTCGCCCTTAAAACAATAGCAGGAAAAAAAGAGAACGAATTCTTGTTAGAATATTCTACTTTTACCTTAAAAAATTTTTAATAAAAGTTGTATGTAAAAATTCCCTACAGGACCATCTCTCTTTGACTCGCACCAGCTAGAAACGTTACAAAATGTATATGTATGGTTAGTAAAAAATCACGTTAAATGAAGTAAAATTAATCGATACAGAGAATTTTTTGATTTTTATTTGAAGTTTTGAAGCATTCGATCTTTATATGAAAATTAATAGGCCTATACTAGTGGATTCACTTGATTATGGTTTGAATATAATACAAACTTTGAACATATCATTAACAGAAAAGCATTCCTAAAGCATAAGAACATAACATATAACATTATGAAAATGCATAATAATAATTATGCATTAATCAAGAACTGGTGTTTATTAAAAATTTGCAGACTTTAATAATACAGATAGACCACCAATTATTCTATATCTTTCTGTATCTGAAACCTTCTTTAATCTAGACAAATTACGAAATATTACTTCACAGAATGACTAGAGCATCGATGACCATAGTTGGCATTTATCTGAACAGGACACTTATATTTTAAATAGGTAAGTCGTATTCCTAAAAATATTATTATAACAATAAAGCAGTAAATAAAATTTCTT